GTTTGGTTGTATGTATAATTCTCAGTTGGCTATTCTTGCCTTCAAGGTTGTGTTTATGCCATCCCTTTGCCTTCTTGCCTGCATGGTTTATGCTGAGAAATCAGAGCTTAGTCTTATTGGTTACCCATTGTAGGTGACATAACTTTTTATCCTCATAGTACTACCAAGATCCTTTCTTTCTTTGGTTTTGGAAAATTTGATTATGATATGCCTTGGTGACTTTCTCTTGGGATCTATCCTGTATGGGGTTCATTGAGCTTCTTGGATAGTTATCTTTTCTTCCTTCATGGTAAGGTGTGAATTTTCTATTAGCAAATCTTTGACAATTTTTTTTTCTCAGTGTTCTCCCCCCCCTCCCATTCTGGCATTCCAATCAGGCATATATTGTTTCTATTCATATCATCTCATATAACGCTTAGGTTTTCTTCATTTTTTAAAAATCTTTGTTCTTATTTTTCCTTATACAGGCTCTTATCAAGGGATTTGTCTTCTAGCTGGGAAATGCTTCTTCAGCCAGTTCTAGTCTACTCTTTTGTCTTTCCAATGTATTATCTGTCTCCATAATTTTAGTGTTCATCTTCTGGATTTCTAACTGCTGCTCTTGTGTGAGTTCTAATTATGCATTTATTTTCTTCTTGAATGATTTTCCTGAAATTTTCCAGGGTACTGTCTGTGCTTCTGTTTATGGTTTCCTTGTGCTCTTGGAGGGAGATGTGTGTGTGTGTGTGTGTGTGTGTGTGTTCAGTCAGCAGGTGGGAACTGGCCACAATGGCAAAATCCACTTACTAACTGTAGCATCTCCAAGAGAAAGGGGATCAGCACTGCCATCAAGCCCATTATGACTCATAGTGATCCCCTTTGTGTTTCCCAGGAAGTAAATCTTAAAAAAAAAAAAAAAATTGTGATTTGGATGAAAGTTTACAGAACAAACATTTCAATTTTCATACAGCAAAAATTCATTTTCTTTTCTTTTTTTAATTGTGATTTGGGTAAAAATTTACAGAGCAAATTTACTTTCCATACAGCAGTTCACATACACTTTGTCTCATGACATTGACTACAATTTACCCTAGTACAACAGCTCCCCTCCCACTTCCTCCTGATAGTTACCTCTTCCCTGTGTCCATCCCTCCATGCCCTCTTGCCCCCTGAGCTTTCTTCCTGTGCATAAACAGCCCTTCTTTCTCCCATGATTGTTCTCTGCAAGGAGTGTATCTACCTCAGGTACATGTTCACCTCATATGCCTGTCTTTTGTTTGTCTGGAAGCTACAGTTGTGGGTTCAATTCCAGACCTGAAGAGCAACTAGTGGGCATAGTCTCAGTGGTTCCACCAGGCTCTATCAGACCAGGAAAACTGGTCCCCCCCCTTTTTTTCCTCCAAATGATAAACTCAAACCCACTGCCTTGTGTCTGATTTGGTGTTCTGTTTGTTAGGAGAGAGCTTCTCTTCCCTTTCCACCACTCTCTTCCAGACTCTGAAGCAGCTTAAGCTATTGGGGGTCCTGTTCCATTTCCTATTATGATCTTCATCCCCACTTGTAGTCCCAGATCACCTTGCATAACTCCTGGTATGACTATTCTGAGTCTTTAACACCTTTGGGTTCATGACCTCTTTTGTATTTTAATGACTTCTCTTTGGCTCTGCTGGCTGGGCAGGTTTTTTTTTTTTTTTTACTTTTCCCAGTCCCTAAACCTGCTCCCTTTCCCCACCTTCACTGAATCTAATACTGTATTTTTTCACTAGCTGCTCATAACTCTAGTATCAATATTTTCATCTGCTGTACCTATTTTCTCAAAAATCTCTGTTGATAGAGAGATCAAGCCTGCAGTCTGTTAGCAGGATACCATCTTCCCCCTAATCCTCTTGCAAGGTGCTTCCGGATGGACTTGAACCTTCAACACTTGGTTAGCAGCCAAGCACATTAGCTTTGCAGAGGCACTCCTTACCTATGTTAACTTCTTCCTGAATTAGTCATAAAAAACTAGATAATGCTTATCTCGTAAACTAGGTTATTCAGCTTTAATGAATTCTAAAGTTTCAGTGGCTTAACACAACAAAAGTTCATTTGTTCCTAAAGCAAAGTCTATCACACCATAGCCCAGCAATTCAGACATCTTTGTCTTGTGACAACTGTTTCAAAACATCCTTCTACAATCACCAAAACAGTTGAGCAAAACACTGTCTTAGGGTGGGTTCTCTCGGGAAGCAAAACCAGTGACGCTTATAAAGAGAGAGAGAAAAAAAAAATATCTCAAGGAAATAGCTCATACAATTCTAGAGGCTGGCAAGTCCCAAACCTTTGGGTAAATTGTCACATTGGAAGTTTCTCTTGACTCATGCATCTGCAGGGGCTGATGAACCCGTATTGGGCAGGCAGTATGGGCAGGAGATTATGATAAGCCAGATGTAGGATCCAAATTCAGCAGGCAGCCAGAGAATTTTTCCAGTATACCTATATATACACACACACATTATATACATATACATATACATATACGGTAGCTCTGGTAGCATAGTGGCTGAGGCACTTGACTGCTAACCAGAA